AGTATACACTATCTTGATCTGGTTAGAGGTTTGTGTTTTCTTGAACTGATTAACAACATGTTTTATTTTTGATCTAGCTATGAAACATAAGCACTACTTTTATCCAATTAAAAACATACTACACCCAGTTAGAAGCATGTTGATCATCATAACCACCATTAGGGAAAAAATCATTAAATTTTTCCTGATTAAAAAGCACAGGTAGTATAATGAGCTGGTTAAAAAAACATTTTGATTTGGTTGGGAAACAAATGCACACCATTGACACTGTGCACACTCAAAAGATCTTAATCTTCTTAGAGAACACAACTATCATTCTAGCCTGATTATGAAACCGGTAATAATCTTATCTAGTTTTGTATTGTCCCATATAAAATAAAAAAGCACCATATTAACTTAGGAAACATTAGCTGATTAGGAAATGTGTGTGTTACTTTAACTTGCTCAACAAATGTATTGATTAAAGCTGCTGATGAAATACAGCTATCATTCCAGTTCAGCTAGTCTTGTTATGAAAGAAAAGTACCTTATTCATCTAGTTAAGAAGCACAATATAAACCTAACCTGATTAAATTACACAATCTTAATCACCATAGTTTATTTGGATAAAAAAAAGACATTATTCTGATCTAGTTAAAAAAAGACACTATTCTAATATAGTTAAAAAAACACTATTCTGATCTAGTTAGAAAGCACATACTATTCAGCCATAGTTAAAAAGCACATACTATTCAGAGAGTTAAAAAAAGACACTATTCAGACATAGTTAAAAAGCACATACTATTCTGATGTAGCTAAAAAACAGACACTGTACTGAAGTGGTAAAAAATAAAAGCTAGGCAAATAGTGAAATATTTTAATCAATTATTCATTGATCACATTATTTGATTAATTGATTATTCCCACATAAGACTTGTATTTTTGGAATAGTCTACCCTGTGCACATTCAGTTAACTGGTAACTAAAGAAATATATTTCAATATTTAAAGTAGATAAGGAACACTTGCACTTTATTCTTGTTTGGTACAAAATGCTCACCATCTCTATTTTGGTCTACATAATGCACAAACTTGGCAAAATCCAAACTACAGCTGCTGTCCGATTTCTCCAGATATTTCTGTAACAAAGCAATACTCAGAGAAATTTAAATCAGCTATATGCCAACCTCTTGAATTATGCTAATGACACACTTCATGAAAACAAATGTCCAAGCCATGTTTAGAAAACAACAGAGATACTTAACTTTTTTGGATAAGAATTACTTTTTGTACAGTTTGTAAAACACAGTTTAATTTCATAGAACTTTAAAAGGCACTTAATTTCTGTGAAATAACTTATTGAACACAGTAATACTCAGGATAATTGTTATAACTCAAAACATACAAAGTGTAAAGTAATTATATATCTGTTTGTACTCAGTTGTGCAATTAAACCCTATTGTAAGTAATTAATGAATAGAGAAATATTTTTTCACACACACACATATATATGTACTGTATGTATACCATTAACTTTACACCACTCACATTTACTGTATTTTTCATCATCATCTCTCAAGTTGAGAATTATTTAAATGCAAGCCTAACATTTAGCATCATATTATGTGGTTTACTGTAATACGAAAACTACAAACACAATATCAACGTAGGTTTCTCAAACTGTACTTTCCCATGTAGATAATTAAAAAACACAACTAACACCCTGCTTTGCATATCAAGAGCTTGATAAACTAGGTAAAAATTTGACAATTTTTCAAGCAAGTAAAAGATTTGTTATTTATCACACATGCAAATATATAAACATAATGAAGAAGAAATTGTATAACTTCTATTCCTGGAAACAGATCTTATTTAACCTGTGTTAACTAACACTGATTGTACAACCTGTTCCTCGAAATATAAAATACTGGTAAAGCATTTAATGGAAGTGGAAGGCACACTAAGTGAAAGTTGAATCAAACAAACATTTCTTATGGAATTATTATGTACAGGTATTGATATCTAACAATTTGAACAAGTTAAACTAAATGGTTCTTGGAAATATTTGGATTAACTTGCTTTTTCTTGATTATTTCCACTATATAGCACTTGAATTACAAATACACATTAACCTTTTTTAATTCTTATTATTACTCTATTTATTTTCACAAGTATATTCAGTAGTTGAACCAGATAAAAGTATCTGTTTCATTAACATTTCTTTAGATTGAGATTTCACAAGTCAGTGAAACAGCCACTTTTCCCCCACACAAAACTTGCAAAACATTTACCCATAATCCAATACAACCAAAACTAGCTAGTTGATAGCTTTGCTACAAAGGTCACGATAGCAGATCATTATTTAAGATGCTTATGGATTGAAAAAAAAAGTACTCATACAAACAGTTACAGTTTTCTCCTACAAGTTTTATATCAGATACTGTGAACAAAGTGAGATTCTGAATGTAATCTAAGTTAATTTAATTTTTATACGCAAACACATAAGGGTAGAATTGTGCAAGTTTAACTCTTAAATTGCAAAAGTATCATGTATATGTTTAGTATTACTTCACGACTATTGCATAACGGTCATACAACATGAGCTGTGTCTACTGCTGCTCAGGATTTCTAGATTTAGATAATAAGTTGTTCATGGTAGTCAAACTGGTTTCTTGTGTAAACAACTGCATAATTGAATTATTTGAAAGTCATAAAGAATTTAATAACTAGATAAAGCTATTAGTGGTATTCATTTAAAATTTTATGTCATATTTTAAATGATGAAGGATACTAAAAATATTTGGTTTCCAATGTTTTTAGAATAACAAAAACATAATAAGACCCACATAAATTTTAATTAACAAGTTGTTGATTGATTATAATACATATGAATAATGAGGGTTTTAAAGTATATCAAATAATACCTTCCACTGTTTTCATTTTTTTGTCTCTCATAACATATCAGAGGTTTTTTTATTAATACCATTAAAATGGCAGCCAATCAAGCAAACTTAATTAAATCTGTCCTTAAAAAATTACCAATAACACAACCCCTGTAGCACACGGTTGCTGGTTTTTTTAATTTTTATTGACAATCTTATTTTTAAGTTCTCTATATCCTTCCAAACTTTTACATTGATATTAAAATTCCTGATATTTTCTTTATTTTAAATAAAAAATGAGAATTAATTTCAGTAAAAAAACACACCTTAAATGCAACTAAGATTAAAAAAGACTCAGTGGCAACAATAATGTGTTAGCATTTAAAACGTATATAAATAAAATTGGCTTTTACTAAACAATTTGAATGATTAATAATTTGTGTTGAAATGATAATATTTTTCATCATAACACAAGTTACAGTGTAGGGGAGCTTGTGGAATTAAAACTTACTGAAATTAATTTTCATCATTAGTTGAGTACCAACATATAATACTATCAGTTGTTCATATTTAAATAACTATGGTAATACATATATGGCTTTTAATTTAAGAATGATACTGAAATCCCAATGGACCATAAAACATTTTACAAAAATAATTACTTCTATACCTAAAGATATAATTTACAGTGTTCTGAAAGAAAAAAAGATCATTTGAGAACCAATTTTTGAAATAAAATATTTTATATTATGCACAAACACTTTAGCCTTGAAAAAGTGCCTTTATTGTAAGATTTGATTACATAAAACTGAAAACAGCAAAAAAAAACAGTGATACTGTAATGTTAAATTTGTTTTAAGTTTACAGAATTATAGCCCCTAATGGCTCAGATGTAAGCCTGATGGCTTATAATACTAAAAACTGGGTTTCGATACCCATACTGGGTACAGCAAAGATAGCCCATTATGTAGCTTTGTGTTTAACAACACACAACCCCATTGTGCTATGAACTTGTACAGGAGTATAGCTATCCTTGCAGACTCCACTGTGAAGGGTATGCTAAAGAGGGACCTACAGTGCTATAATAAATCAGTTAGGAAGGGGGCCTAATGAGAAAATTTGCAGAGGGGGAAGACACTCATTTTGTTCTACACATCTGAGCTAATACAAATTTTATTAAGTTACAAACAACAAATTGTTAAGTTACTATACCAAAGATAAAGCATTTTCTTATAATAGATTCTTCATTTTTAAGTTTCTTTTTTTTGAGTAATTACACAATTTTATTTTTGGCTAAAGAAAACCTTATAAGTCTAACGTATTTTAAGCAGTTTTTTTTTAAATTCATAATTATGTCTACTTACTTAAAATAAATAAAAACACTTATGATAATTTTTTTAAAACCAAAATCATCACTTAATATTTTTAGCATTACAGGCATTAAGACTAAAAGGCTGTATATATAATTATTAGTTGTTACATTTAGATTGTGTTACTTGGTAATGGGTGTTATTCCCCTGCTATTACAAAGTTTAACTTTGACTCTGAATACCAGTCTGTAGTCCCTGACTCCAACTTCCGTTCTAACTTCTAAGTGTGTAATTCTAGGTTTAATTTCAATTTAACCTCACTAGTAGTAGTAGTAAAATTTGCAAGAAATATAAATGCAAATTAAAGTATAATTATAATACCTCTATACGGTTTGGGATATGAGGTAAACCCATTCTTTGAACAGCTTCTGAAAGATCTCCAAAACCAACCCTGCCATCTTTGTCAATATCCAGATACTTGAACCTTTCCAATCGTTCTTCTTCTGAAGGGAGCCCTTGGCGATAATGTTGAGGTTGATCAAAAGAAGTATTTTGTAAGCTCGCCATGTTATTTTACCGTAGAAAATGCGACAAATTAAACAATGATTTCTATTCATTAAAAATATCTATATATATATGTGTGTGTGTGTAAAATAAAAACAGAAGCCGCCCGCCCCACACTACACAACACGTTTAAAATTAAATCCCAACACCAAAACCCCATTCAGTTTCTTAACAGCCAATCTGACCATTAATACCGGTTCACCTCGTGACTGGATGTCGCCAATCTAATGATGCAATAATCACTATATGTATTGCCATCTACTGGCATATATGCATACATATTTCAGTGAATTTTCTTTAAACAAAAACATATCTACAGTAAAATAAATCATTTTGCAAAATTTTCAGTTTGAATTTATAATAAAGAAAAAACTGTGAGCATAATAAACATGTAATATTAATTTGTTTTTGACTACTGAGACCTCTGAAGGATCGACCATAACATCCTAACAATACAGCAATATCTAACATGTAAAGTCTAAATTCAGTATTTTATTGTTATTTCACATTTTGCAACATGTCCGCTACAGTTGTATTTTAAAGAAACACTGCATTGCATTTCAAATTACACCAAAATACACGATTAATCTTAGACACAGTAATGGTCGAGACGCTATCTATGTTATCAAATTGCATGAACAACAACTCTTTCTGTGTGAACTAACTTAAATTGGTAAACTGTATTTTTTATAAATTTTTATTTGAGTCATTATACACCAGAATTATGTTTACGATTCATTACCACCAAATTATTAGTTCAATATTATGAATAAGTATGCTGCTACAGAGTAAGAAAATAGAGCTGGTTGTAAAAACAAGTAATTAACATAAAAATTGTTTCATATTTATTAAATTACTTCAATTATTATCTTCATTATTCACAAAACTATTTAGACAAGATTATTAAAAAATATTAGTTTAAAACGGAGGAATAATAATCTTAGAAAAATTACAGAAACAAGATTGGTAGCTTAAATTGAAAGTGTAATCGCAAAAAATAAACAAACAAGCTTAAGGTTTGAGATATAGTGTTGACATTATTTCCTCAAGCTACAAATCCCTATTTTGACTCCACCACAAAAAAGCTGTAATATTTAGTTAAGTCAAAATAGTGAAAATGTGTAAAAAAAAACCAACAACATTGGAACTTTGTCGTTTTTCGCTTATCGTCAGAAGATTTCTTGAAATATCAGCGAAGCAAGGAAATCTGCAACAATAAACACACTACTGGCATGGCTTGGTGGTTAGGGTACTCGGCTCGCACTCTGTATATCACGGGTTCGAAACCCGTCACTGAAAATGCTTGCCCTTTCGGCCGTGAGAGATTTACAATGTGACTGTCAATTCCACTATTCGTTGGTAAAAAGAGTAGCCCAAGAGTTGGTGGTAAGTGGTGTTTACAAGCTGTCTTCTCTCTACTCTAGTATATCACTTCAAAATTAGAGATAGCTAGCGCAGAAAACCCTCGTGCGGAGTTCAATAACCAAATAAACAAGATAAATATATATTTATTTACATCAGCGATTATGCACCTCTAATTGATCGACTGTTTGAAGTTAAGCACAAAGCTACATAATGGGCTATCTGTGCTCTGCCCACCACAGGCATCGAAACCCGGTTTCTAGCGTTGTAAGTCTGTAGACATGCCGCTGTGCCACAGGGGGGCACCTTTAATATTCAGCATGTAACTTGATTTATCCATCTGCTTATTTCGTAAGTAATAATAATAATAAATTAAGTTAATTACTTTCTAACACAAACCACGATAATAGTCCACTATGTAATATTGTACAAACGAGTATACATTTTGTAAACAAATTGTCAATGTGACGTAATCGAAAATGGGCGTTTGATTACTATACGTAGGCGGTTTCTGTAAACAATTCTGTTCTCAAGCACTTACGTCAATAGCTTAATTGGCAATGTGATATTACCAAGTATTATGCATAATACCACAGTAATCTCGTCTTGATTCATGCGCATCAACTCCCCACGTGGTGTTGCAGAGTTCCAACGACCGATTAGCTCAAGCTGAACACTTAGAACATTTTTTAAAACAAATAGAAGACTTCAACCTGATTTCTTTAACAAGGTATGTATATTGTTTATACTACGTTAGCAGTAAAAGTTTGCTTTTACTTTTAGAGGCCTTCTCATGGCATTATAAATGAAATAACGTAAAAAAAAAAGAAGGCAAACATAAAGATAAGGCTGATTCCGCTGCACTTGAGTATAGGTCATCAGGCGAATGAAATACTCAAATAAATCGAATTCAAAGGAGTTAGAAGATTCTAATAAGAAATATTCTCTGTGCACTTTGTAAAAATATACTCTGAATGATCATGAGCAATGTTCGTAACAGCGCTCGTGATAGGAAATCACACTTGCGTTGGTTAGGAAGTAAAGCAATCCTTAAACGTTATTTTATTTCAAGTTGAAACAGGTGTTAATATATATGCACCTTTGCTGAAATTTGACAGACCTCCTCGAGTTCTTTGTGGAAATATATAGTGTATGAGCTACGATAACGTAA